AAAAAAAGGAAAAAAAGGTGACACACTCAGTTACATACATCCATATGTTAGGCCTAGTTGCCTTTAGCTGACTCACCTTCTGGTAGCAGGATCGGCAGCGGGAATTAAAGGTCCCGGTTAAACGGGGCACAAAACCTTTTTTTTTTCTTTTGTGAACTGGCGGAAATGGCTAATATTCCACGCGTAAACTTTTCCTCGCACGTCTTTTCACTTGAAAGGCACTTTTCAATTTGAATTTTCCTGTTAGCCGACCAGGCGATCGTGCCCCAGTGCATTTGCGTGTGGAACATTTCTCGAACTTTCACTCTTATCCACATATACAAACACATAGTTCAAATTTACACATTAGCATCTGCACCTACACGAAAATTCACACACGTACACACATGCACACGGTCATTCCTGGCAGCGCGTCTTTTCACACATGTTGCGCAACATGTTTGGGTACATCGTTGAGGTACAAATCAGGCATTGGCAAAGGTTGCTGTTTTTGTGACTTTAAGCCTACTCACGTTAAAAACGGAGGATGAACGAACACCACCGCAAAGCGTGCTGTCTTGCAAATCACAGCCACCACAAGTGAACGATGCTTATAACAGCTCATACTGATATTGACTTCGGCAAATCTGTACTCCGAATGATCGTGCACGAAACCAGCAACCGCCGTATTTGATCGACAGCCATAAGCACGAAACTGCATTTGGACGGTTGCCGAAAGCATGACAGCTTATGTGAAAGACTGGCGAAGGCAAGATGCCGCAGTTAGCTAACTTGATTTGTTGCAGAAGTCAAACCGCCGCCTTTGGTTTGTTGCTGAAGGCGCGTTTGACGTGTTGCCGAAGTGATGATACTGTAGTTCAAAAACATTCAAAGACACTTGCTTGTTTGAAATGAAGCATTGATATGTACATACATACATACTTACGTACGTATGCATATTCACAACTAGCCACGGGGGGGGACTTTGATTCCCAGTGGGAACGGTCACCATAGCTGGGCTCTAAGCTACCGGGGGGGGGTCGGCAGGTCGCGGATAGCCGGACGGCCTGTAGTAGCAGGTTAGTTGCGAAATAAGGTTAAACGAATAAGCAATCCCCGACGATGAGCAGCAGGAATAGAGGACGCGGTATAAAAGCCAGCAAGTCTGATGAAATTCCTGTGATAGTGGCGAGTGGACACCGCCTCTTTGAAATATGTGTCCCCCTCATCATACATATGATGAGTTACAAAAAAAAAAACCCAGGCGCGACGGCTTCCATATTGGACGGCTTCCTGGTCAGCGTTTGTTCACCATGTTAGGTGCGGCTGATACAACAATCCAGACCGGTACGCGCTGCGGCGCACTGGGAGTCCCTCGAAATCCCTATAGCGATTTCTCCGCTGGCGGGGTAGAGACGGTGATGTGAGCGTGCTCTGCCGAGGTGTCAGCCGCGGTGCGTATCAGTAACCAGCCACTTCGGTCCCTGGTCAGGGAGTGTGCATTGGACGCAGGTGTAGTAGACCGCGTTGCCCCGGGCGAGCGCCGGTCCGTCCGTGTTTTCCGGGACCGGTAAAGCGAAGGACAGGCCTCAAGGAACTGGGGTAGGGGCATAGTCCCCGAGGGTATACCCGTTCCTGTCTATTTCGGCCCGCCCCCCTGCACACGATGCGCTGGCAAAAACAAAAGAATGGATTCCAAAATGAGAAAAAACAACAACAACAACAACAATGTAAACGAAGCCAGCAGCGGCGCGAAAAACCTGGACGGCAGGGGCTGCAAGGTGCTTGGGGCAGACCCGTCCCAGGGAACACCGACTGCAGAAACTGACCCGTTCAAGCGTGCGTCAAGACTAGTTCGGTCGCCTGTAAAGGCGCTTAGCGTGGAGAAGCCGGTACGAACGAGATCGTCGCCACCAGCACTACAAGACAGCGAGCCTCAAATGAAGGGAGCCAAACAGAACGGAGACTACATGTCGGAGCTCGGAGATGCTATTAAGAGGCTGACGGAGGCAATGTGCCCGCCACAACGCTCAATAAACAATAGCATGCGAGAGATACTCAGCTCACTAACAAAGCTGCATGCGAGTGCCCTGGAGGAGTACTCCAGAATAAAGGCAAGCAGACGGAGTATTTTCAACATACCGGTGACTGCTGAAACCCCGAAAAGGCCCCGAGATGAAAGCCAACTAAAGCGTAGGACGCCACCCAAGAAAAATAAAACCACGCAGGAGGAGGTGACCACCAACCCTGCAACCAAACAGAGTAAGGTGGCGCCAAACGAAAATTCCGGCAAGATTAAGGAGAAGGAGGTGGAGAAAGAAGGAAAATGGGTAGAGGTCCAACGCAGGTCACATGGCAAAAAGAAGATGGCATACAAACCACCACCACGGCCAGATGCCATCATTATAGCTCGGACGGGAGATATGACCTACAGCGATATACTAAGGACCGTAAAAAAGGAAGAGGCGCTGCAGAAACTCGGCGAGAGCGTATCACGCATCAGAAAGACGGTCAAGGGTGAAATACTGCTGCAGCTTAAGGAGACGCAAATGAAGGACACGGGCGAACTCAAGAGCGAAATAGGTAGGCTTCTAGGGGACCAGGCACAGATCAGAGCCCTAACCCACGAGACGATGGTAGAAATCCGTGACCTGGACGAGATTACCACCAAGGAGAATATTGCCGAGGCCATCCGCAACCAGATAAAGGAGCTAAACCACCTTAACGAGAATGCGATAAAAAGCATCAGGGCGGCTTATGCGGGCACACAAACCGCGGTGGTAAATCTCCCAGCGCAGGAGGCAAGATTACTTCTTGACGCGCAGAAAATAAAGATAGGATGGGTTGTGTGCAGAGTAAGGGAGAAACCGAACCCCAAAAAATGCTTCAGGTGCCTGGAATATGGCCATATAGCGAGAGACTGCAAAAACGCGGAAGACAGAAGTCAATGCTGCCTAAAATGTGGAGAAAATGGACACTTTGCGAAAGCCTGCGACAAAAAGCCACACTGCAGAGCATGCAAAAACCAGGGAAGAAAGAACACCGAGCACCAGATAGGTAGTTGGAGGTGTCCGCTATACCAGGAGGCGTGCAAGAAATCAAGAAAATGAGAGTCATGCAGTTGAATCTCAACCACTGCGAAGCAGCGCAAGAGCTGCTCAGGCAAACGGTGTACGAGGAGAAGGTGGACATAGCAATAATCAGCGAGCAGTATAAAAATATAGACAGTGGAGCATGGATATCGGACCTCACAGGCAAAGCTGCAATATGGACATGCGGAGGAAAAGCTTTCCAAGAAAAGCCGCTGCTTGGTAAAAGCTACTACACACGAGCGAAGGTAGACGGTTTTAACTTTTATAGCTGCTACATACCACCAAGTATCCCACAAAATGAATACGAGAACATCCTAGACAGTTTGGTTCAAGAAGTCCGGACCACCACAATGAACGTTATAGCAGGGGACTTCAATGCATGGGCAGTGGAATGGGGTAGCGTCCACACAAACAGGCGGGGAGATGCACTACTAAAGGCGTTTTCGGTACTTGATGCGGTGCTTCTGAATTCGGGGAACAAAAATACCTTTGAGAAGAATGGTCGAGGCTCGGTGATTGACATTACTTTCGCTAGTAGTTCCTTGGTGCGCTCAACGAGCTGGAAGGTGTCGGACCTCTATACGAACAGTGACCATCTGGCAATCATGATGGAGCTAGGGAATTGTGCACAGAGCCGACAAAGGGCGATCACCAGGAAGGTGCAAACGAGGGGCTGGAAGGTAGAGACTCTGGATGAAGAGCTCTTCAGACTCGTGCTGGATGAGGAAATGGCCACTGAGGATAACACTGAGCTCCAGGCTGAAACACTGGTGAGGCACATCAGTAAAGCCTGCGACGGTGCTATGTGCAGGAGAAAACACGGCTCTCTCAGGCAGCCGGCGTACTGGTGGAACGAAAAAATCCAGGCCATAAGGGGTGAGTGTCATAAGGCGAGGCGGTTGTGTCAAAGGAACCGTGGCTCGATGGAACATGCCGTGCTGCGCGAAGCCTTCAAAAAGAAGCGAAGTGACCTTAAAAAAGCCATCAAAAGCAGCAAAACCAGCTGCTTTAAGGAGCTCTGCGAAAAGGTGGACGAAAACCCATGGGGTGATGCCTACAAGGTGGTCATGAAGAAAATAAAAGGTGGTAAAGGCCAGGCACCAACCTGTCCCACCCTCCTAAAAGACGTCGTGCAAACTCTCTTCCCTGTGCAAACGCCAGGAGGTCGGCGACCGCAAGCAGAGAAACCGGAGGGAATGGAAGCACCAACGGTTACAGACGAGGAGGTGGTCCAAGCAGCAGAAAGATTTGGTAATGACAAAGCGCCAGGCCTAGACGGAATACCAAACAAGGCTCTGAAGGTTGCCATCAAGCACAACACGGGTCCGTTTACCGAACTCTTTACGCGGTGTCTGCGAGAAGGCGTCTTCCCAAAAATCTGGAAGAAACAGCGGCTGGTCCTACTGCAGAAACCAAACAAGCCGGCAGGAGAACCAAGCGCATACCGACCTCTCTGTATGCTGGATACGCTTGGTAAGATACTGGAGCGATTAATTTGTGTACGGTTGGAGCAGCACCTAGAGGAGGAACTGCCGGGTCTCGCCGATAACCAGTATGGTTTTCGAAGACAGAGGTCTACCATTGATGCAATTAAAAAGCTCACCGATGTCGCAGGCAAGGCAATAGAAGGAACAAGATGGCTATATGGCACGAAGGAATACTGCGCGGTGGTGACATTCGACGTAAAAAACGCCTTCAATTCGGCATCCTGGCCTCACATACTAAGTGCTCTGGAAAGAAAGAACACGCCGCCCTACTTGCTAAGGATGGTATCCAACTACCTATCTGACAGGCTTCTGCTGTATGATACCGACGAAGGCCCCAGGAAGTACTTGGTGACGGGTGGAGTACCACAGGGCTCCGTACTTGGGCCACTACTTTGGATTGTCCTCTATGATGGAATTCTGGGACTGCCGCTGCCAAGGGAGGTACAAATTATCGGATACGCCGATGATATAGCAATAACAGTAGTGGCCAAAGACCTCTACCAAGTTGAGAACATCTGCAACAGCACGGCGCAGCAAATAAAGAACTGGCTCGCTGCAACGAATCTCCAACTCGCAGGGCAAAAAACCGAAGCGGTGGTGATCACAAGCCGAAAAAAGATGGAGAGCGCTACGCTCAACATCGATGGACATAGCATCAAAACACAGCAGTCGCTGAAATACCTGGGTGTCATGATAGACTCG